GCATTTCTGTTAAGGTGGCTTGAATTGCTTATTGTTCGCTTACCTCCTCCAAAATAGTTTTAAATGATGATCAAAAAAACAAGATCTCATCTCAGATCACAGAACAAATTACAGAAAAAAGAAACAGCAGCGGTTCCTGGCAGCTGGTATGTGGCTTTAGACTGCAGCAGTTCATCCTCCTGCCACTCGAATTGTTTGTCTCTGACCATCAAAGAATGTTCCCCATGTTTTAGTCCTGTCTTTGGCATGGGTTGTTTGGCACGTGGAAGGCTCAGCCTGTGCTTGCTGTCCCCTCTGCCCATAGCTGGAACTCTTGATGAGCCCAGCCCGTACTTCCATTGTCCTCTTTAGTGCAGTGTTCCCATGGAGGCCTGTGATTACACACGGGATCCGTACCCATGTTAGAATGAGGTTCCATAACTAGAGTCTTGCATTGGGTTTTTAAGACTATTCAAAAACATATGACCTACTTCTTCAGAATTGTTTGTTTCTTCAAATGGATATGATGAGAAAGAAAAATAAATATACTGGATTGGAAGGCATGAATTCTGATCATGGCATTACTGCCTCTACTTCTGGGACTTTTTTCTTGTTGGTTTTGTGAGCTTAGGCAAGTTACTTGTCTGGGTCTCAGTTTCTTCATTTGTTGAAGAATTGTCTTCATCATAGGAAGGGTGTAAAGATCAGATGGGGTAACACTGGAGGCTGTCCTGAGTGGTACCAGACACCTCTATGTGAAGGTCAGGTACACTTCTCTCATTGTCTTCACTCTTATCTCCCAGCAGGAGTGGGGTAGAATGGCCAACAAATGAAAACTAGTCCTTCCTTGCCCAAAGTTAATACCTTCAATAGCATTCTCTTCCTGGCTTCCCACTCAATCTGGTGCACTGTTGCATTAACTCTCCTGCATCTTCAGTTCCCTTACCTACCAAAAGTTTATATCAAATCTAATCAAACAAAGGGAGGAGGGAAGGGAAAGGAGGAACCCCTTTGTTCCCTCTGCTTTCCCTGAAGCCAGCTTCCTCTGCTTAGCCAATGAACGCAGACAATCAATTGCTTTGAAAGGATCATTAGCTCTTCCTTCTCCACCCCATCCCATCCAGTGGTCCATAAATGGCCCGTCTTTCCACTATTCTCCTGGCTTTGCTATTTTAAGATGCCCTTAATTAAAATTAAGTTCTTAAATTTACATTTAATGTGTAAGGATATTTTGACATGCTTGAATAACAGAACCATCCAGTAAAAATATAATGCAACCCATATATGTGATTTTAAATATTCTAGTAGTTATTAAAAAAGTAAAAGCCACTTAAAAAGTGAAAAGCAGTAATAGATTTTATTTAACCAAACATATGCAAAATATTATTTCAACAAATAATGAATGCTAACAGTTTTCATGAAATATTTTCATTATTTTTACAAAGTCTATGCGATCTGATATGTATTTTATACCTACAGCATATTTCAGTTTGGACTCTAAGTATTCTATGGCCATGTGTAATTATTAGCTACTATATGGGGAAGTTCGTGTCTACACCATTTGGCAGAATTTTTCTAGCACTCTTTTTTAACTCTCAAGGCAGCTGTTATTTTTCACTGAACATCCCTGATTCTTCTCTGCATCTTTGCTGTCCTCTTTTCTCTACATCTCTTGTCACCATTTGATGGATGCCAGTCCCCATAAAAAGCTCTGTGCCACTTCTACTCTAAAGTAGTTCTGTCTCCTCGGAGCACCTAGAAGCCATGCAAAACTGATAGGATGACTACAAGCACATTGCTTAGATCAAGCAAAAGGTGGGGACTAAGAAGAGAAAGGAAAAAATGTGTTCATTTCCCCCTGTAGTCTGCCAATGCCCAAAACCAATTTTCTATAATATACTTTGAATGCTTTTTTTTTTTTTTTTTGGTACCGGGGATCGAACTCGGGTCCTTGCACTTGCAAGGCAGGCGACGGAACCACTGGGCTAAATCCCCGGCCCAAACTCTTTTTTTTGTACTGGGGATCGAACTCGGGTCCTTGTGCTTGCACAGCAGGTGGCATAACCACTGAGCTAAATCCCTGGCCCTTTGAATGCTTTTTGTTCTTCCTTCCCTTCCATGTCCTCTCAAGCAGTGGCTCATGTTTTCAAACTCTTACAGGGATCATGTTATACAGAAATGTCCTGATGCATCATTTACTGCACTTACCACTTGGGCTTTTGGACAGCAGCTGATATAATTTAAAAGTTTATAAAAAGTACACTTGGAATATCTATGCAGCTGTCTGCAGTAACTACTTGCGGGATGCAATGACTGATTCACTGAATATCAGAATATTGGGGTTGACAAGCTTTTGGTTATTTAGCATGTTTTATTTTAGCCCAAGAAGAACTCTGAGAACCCATTTTGTGTGCATTCCACAGCATATATGGTAAATCTGATCTGTGAGGTTGCTCTTGTGTGTGACTGCCTTGTGATGAGATTAACACCCTCACAATGAGCTACTTCCAAGTTTTATGCCAACTTGTTTTATGTTTCTTTCTGGGCTTCAGCTGGCAGAAACAATGTCTAGATATAGAGTTCACATGCTTTAATAGGAAGGTGTATGGAGAGAATATACTGAATATCACCCCAGTTCTTTATCCACATTCTGTTGTAGGACATAGTACTGCCTTATAGGAATAGTACCCTGCAGGATTGAAATAGTATTGGCCCAGTCTAGGAGATGAGGTCAGTCGAGACACTTTAAAAATCAGAACAACTCACTCCTTCCTGGCTTTCATCACTGCTGGCATGCATTACATGTCAAGTTTTTGACTCACAAAATTTAATGGGATTATCTAAGGGTTCTGGCTTCTCATCTGTTTTGGAAGATTAGCAAACACCTGCTTCACCCATGTTTCATCCACTCAGCTTCTGTATTAACTGGCCCTATTAAAGCATTGTTGAGATTTCTAGGTCCCTCCACTTTAGCTAAGGATAAATAAAACTTCCTCCTAATGCTTAATAAAATAAAATAAATGATCTCTGAAATTTGGCTATATTCATGATTCACTTTACTTTGAGGAAAATCTCAAATCGTTCTTCTGGTTGTATTTTTATATGGACTTCTATAGTTTTTGTGAGAAATTATTTTGTTTTATAAAAATTAATAAGTTAATAAATTCTATAGCTCTTGATAAAAACACTCTGTGGGTTCTAATATGTTTATATCATCTGGTTCTAACTGGAACACCAGAAAAGCAGACTGGCTTCATAAATACTTTATATTTTAAATATAGGGACTACAACTAAATTGTATAAATTACCAGATATTCTGAGGAAAATGAGGTATATTTCATGTGAATGGTTACCATTATTCTTTTCTTTGCATTGATTATTGAGCTGAAATTCTAGATAACAATGATTTGCAACTAGCAGAAAGCTGGGGAAACTCTCTCGTTGGAAATTCCATGTTGGGAAATGCTAAGGGTTGGTGCAGAGATTTTACTCTGGTAATCAGCTTTGTGATATCAGCCCTCTAATAGTCCTGGAGTGTGTTATTCTAGGTGAGCCTCTAACTCTTGACTTTTGCAGTGTGTGTGCATGTGTAGCACATTTATTGTGAATTTCAGACTTAATATAGCTTTCTCCTTAGCTTCATGCTTCATGTATTTCTCTACATTATAGGACTTGGAAAAATCTCTGTGGCTATTGTAGGCAGGACAACCAAGGCTTGAGAAAGACATAACATCAGATTTAGAATGTGCCACTATTTTGAATAGGCTGGCAAGTATTCATTTTTTCAGGTTTCAAGTCATCCCCCACCCCCAGTGACAGAGGTGTAAGACTTTAGGTTGGTAGCAGGGCACAATAGAAAGAACATGGACTTTGACTTTGAAACCCTGCAGACTTGGCAACAAATCTTTTTTTTTTTTTTTTTTTGGTACCGGGGATTGAACTCCGTCCTTGCGCTTGCACAGCAGGTAGCAAAACCACTGAGCTAAATCCCCAGCCCCTTGGCAACAAATCTTGACTCTGCCACTTACTACATGGCCCCTGCTCTGTTGCTTAATTCACTTCTCCACAACTCACTTCAGTTGTCTCAACAGTGATTATATGTGTTTTACATTTGTTGAAGAAAAAATAGAGATGATGCTCAAAATCAACTGGAAAACTGTCTAGCATATGGTAGTCTTATAAGAGTCATGAAGATAGTGCTGAACAGGATTTGAGAGTAAAAAAAACTTGACTCTGTTTAATTGGGATAAAGAAACTATATCTAGACATCCCAAATATAGGTCCCATGTCAAGTTATGACATCATTTAAAAGTGTATAGTTCCATGTTCTGGGGTGAAGTTAAGAGGTAGAGCATGTGCTAAACATATGTGAGGCCCTGGGTTCAATTCCTAGCCCCCCAAAATGAAAAAAAGTAAAAATGTATGCCTTCTTTCAAGTTCTTTGATATTTGCCCTTGCATATGCCTCGCACTATAAATCAAGGCTACAAGAATGTGAGTCATGCCCTTAACCACTTATAATGTCAATAATTTTAATAACTTTTCCACTTACTTTCTGAATACAGATTTCTAGCAATGGCAGTAAATGACTTTTGAATTATCTTTTTTATGGTAGAAGATATAATTCTACATATGCTGTTTAATATCTTTATGTAGGCCTATGAAACTACACTCAGATTCCTATTTGTATCCAGGAAAGAAGACATGTTTAAAAAAGAATTCATGATTTATGGGACACTTAAGAATCCATTTTAGTTTTTTTATTTTGAATTATTTTCTTCATGCCATATAATAAGTCATTTTTATACTCTTGGAGATTTTTTTTTTCCCTTAAGCATGTAGAGGTTGAAGTGATGAAAAAATGCAAAACCAGATCCTGTTAATTTTATATATGAGATTAGTTTCTATTAAGAGAAATTAAAATAGGCTAAGTTTTGAAAGACTGAAGAATTGGTTATAAATTTTCCCCCCACTTATTCTTATCATTTGAATTTTGATTTTTCTTTGTTGCTTCTTACCTAGGTTACTTGTTGGTTTCAGAAAACGATAAAAGAATTGCAGGAACAAAGTCTAGGTTCGTCGCTGTCAGACAATGAAGAACTAATTTGCAAGCATGAGAACCTGATAATAAAAGCAAAGGTAAGAGACATTGTCCATATTAAAAATAATTGAAAAATCTTGAATATGCTTCTATGAGTGATTTAGAGGAAAATTTAAAAAACTGTCTTTGAAAAACCCACTGTTTAGAGAAAAGCTAATGTCACCCTGCTTATTGCCCAGTCTACTAGAATAATAGAATAATAATAAGAAGCTAACAGCTTCTCCAACAATAACTATATTTTTTGAATAGTTACTATATGCCAGCCACTCTACTGAGTATATTAGATACATTATTTAAATTATCACAGAATTCCTAAGGGGTAGTACTATTATTTTTTGTTTTGTTTTATGGATTGAAGAAAATAACAAAACAGGGGCTTGGAAATGCAAAATAATGTTCAATGTAATGTGGCAGTGGCAGTTTTGGTTAATCCAAGGCCCAAGTTCTTAAATATTATACTTTACTCACTTTCTTTAAAAATTGTTTTATCTGTGATGAGATCTCATCATACTTTCACTTTTATGATTTCCAGGTATAGTTGGATTACTATTCCCACTGATATTTCCCTAGTTCCCTAACTTGCTTAAGGAACTGCTTAAGATTTCTCCATTTTGCCGGAAGCAATGGCTACCACCCAGGCAATCACTTGTAGGTGTACAGAATGTGCAAAAATGGAGTCCTGAAAGCAAAGGGAATACAGCAGCTGAGCCGCAGTTGCTCCCCTCTCCACTGTGACTCGTTAGTTGGAAATAGACTAATCTAGAAATAGCTCTTTATAGGTGCATCATATTGATCCGCAAGAAAACAAAAGTCCATCATAATAGACTTAATAGGAACAGTAAATTCTTATTGTTGTATTATTATTATTATTATTTTTTTGGTACCGGGGATCAAACTCGGGACCTTGTGCTTGCGAGGCAGGCAGCGGAACCACTGAGCTAAATCCCTGGCCCTTAATTCTTTAACAATTATCTAGATCCAGAGAGCTCTGAATTACCAATATCTTGGATAGTGGGTAGTTGTAGGTAAAAGCACGTCATGAAGCTCTGGGAAACAATGGGCCAACACTGCTAGACAATGGTTGAAAATGGGGAAGACAAGTCAAATACATATCTGGGAGGATGAAAGTTGATGGATTGGGAGGGGGCAGTAGATGATGTTTATTTAGACTTAAGTCTCACAGGGATCTTGACCCTTTTTGTTGTATTTTGTGTTGTTTCTTGCTTCAATTTGAACATTTGAATATATTGTAGATGTTCAAAATGTTTGGTTTGGGTATTTAACTGAATGATAAAAGTTATAAGACTGTAAAGGACTTACAACTGGTAAGGACTATTACTGCTCATGTTTTAAATCCTTTAAACATTTTCAGAATTATTTTAATGGTTTAGGAAGTTAATTTTTTCACTGATGTTTGTGTTAATATTCCATTGTGTGAGTGTGTGATAGATTATTTATCCATTCACTTCCTGAAGATATACTGGTTGCTTCCAAATTTGGGCAGTTTTTGATAAGGCTGTTATAAACATCATGTGCAAGTGTTTGCATAGACATGGACTTTCAATTAATTGAGTAAATACCAAGAAGTGTAATTGCTGGATCATATGATGAGTATGTTTAGTTTTGTTAAAACTTCAAACTGTCTTCCAAAGTGGCTATACTGTATTATATTTCTGCTTACAATGAATGAGATTTACTTCTGTTCCACATCTTTGCCAGCATGTGATATTATCAATGTTCTGGATTTTGGTCATTCTAATACATATGTAGTGGTATGTTATTATTGTATGTAATTTGCCTAGATATTGTCTTCGTTAATGTATCTTTTAAAGTCTTTGGCTTATTTTTTAATGAGGCTTTTCGTTTTCTTGTTGAGTAGAAATAATTTTTGAGTAATTTTATTATCCCAAGTGACTCAGGAAATTTTGTAACTATAAGGAAAATAAAAGTTCATCCTTCAACTGAAAGATAAACATTACTAATATGTTTGCAAATTGCCTTTCAGTCATTCTACATACAACTCTAGAGAAACACAGCATTAGAATCATGCTTTTTTTTCATTTAAAAGTTTATCATAAACATTTCTATTGATCTAATACCTTATAGCTGAAATATGCTCCATTATATGATGAAATTCAAGTTTTAGGATTACACATTTTACTATACCTAATTTATAAGCTTTATGAATAGTGAAGTATGTATTATTTTAAAGGTACTAATTCTTTATAAGCTCCTTTTTGTTCCAGATAAGTCTTTTAGGTATTGAGCTACTCAAAATCTCACTTAAAAGCTGAATATTGTCCCATGCACTCAAGTAGTTTTCAAGTTAAAATGTATTTGGGAACTGAGGTCGAGGATCCTATTTTCCTACAGTATTATTGAGCATAAATTTATTTTTAAA